ACCTCCAATAAAGAACCAAGAGAGAGAGAGAGAAAAGGGGAAAACGTAAAAGAAGAAAAGAACTCGACAAAAACCTCCTCGTTTATTGAATAGATACTTTGCATATATATATACTCGATGTATGGAAATGACAGGAATGCTTATACTATGGTTCTAGAAAATGATGGAATCGACAATAAAAGAAGCAAAGACGTGTTTACCATAAGTGACAGGAATGATAAGGAACATAATGGAAAATGAATCAAAAGGGAAAGAAAGGAACGACATGTAAATGAAGGATGGGCCGGATGAAGGTGAAGGGCTCGCTCAAATCATGTGACTTAAATCATGTGATCTTGGTTGTCGCTTCAGGATCTTGGGTCACATGATCCAAGTTGGGTCTTCATGCTGCACACGTGATTTCACCTTCCTTGTTAAGGAATCGAGGCCGACAAAACGGCACACGAACGTGTCAAATGTAACGGTAACATGGCCGAGTTGGTCTAAGGCGCCAGACTCAAGTTCTGGTCTCGCAAGAGGCGTGAGTTCGAATCTCACTGTTACCAAACTTTTGGCAAAAAAATTTTGGATTTTGGTCACGTGATTGTGAGCGTTGTTTTTGTCGGCTATACTTCTGTATCCTTTTGACTGATTCATCTTGCTCTTTTGCCGCCTCCTTTACTCTAGCACTTCCTGCAGGATAGTTCCTCTTTGACATTTAAATCCTTCTCTTTGTTGTTCACTTTCTTCCCTTCTTCATTACTTTTATTCACCTTTGATTGCTTGGATGTTTCTCCCCGTTCTTACATCTTTTTCTGTAAGCTCCCCACTCTGCTGTTCCTTGCGCAGATTTACTTAATGATGATTGTTTCCTCTTCACTTGTTTGTCCTTTTTGTGCCTTTGTCGAGCACGTTATTGTTTTCTTTCTTGCTATTACAAAACCACCTAATTGCTATGGTGTGTATCGTTTATCGTTGTTCTCGCTTGGCTATCATATTAACCTTTTGGCCAGGTGATTTTTATTCTTTATCAATAAACAGCCTTACACGGATCATTGACGAGATCACATGATTTTGATCCATGATGCCATGACATTCCTTTTGACGCATTTTCGGATATACTTCTTTACCTCTTGGTAGATCACATGGTTTCCATCCATGTTTCCTCGACATTCCTTTACACATCACACACGGTCACAGCCTTCCAACACTTTCCCTTTCCCTTCTTTTCTAGAATCTACATCCACACACATATACAAGAACATGTTGTATTCTAAAATAAATCATCTTCATCTCTCGTAAAAAGTCATCTTCTATCATTGTTGTCCTGGCCTTGCTTTGCAGCCATTCTTGATCACGACATTTTGGCATAAACGTTGGACCTTTTTTGGATCCGGATCCAAATGTGAGATGCCTCTATCCCTGCTTACAATGGTATCTATTCAAAAGTGTATCCGAGATTGACCCAATTTTTATTATGTAATGAGAAGCCATTATGATTGGAAATGTAATATAGGGTAGTAAAAGTCTATTGAATGCACATGTATAATAGTAGTAGGGGATGATGATGATCATCAGATGAATAAATAGGCTAGGATACCCATACTTTCATCACGTGTCTTTTGATAATTGTCTATCCAATCCAAATCCTGTTGCGTAGATTGACGAGTAACATCATCCTCAAATGCATTACTGTATGTGAAAGCTGAGTATGCCAATCGTGTCAATAGGGCTAGACGTTGTTGTTTTTCTTGATCGTTGGCAAAAGGCGAGTATTGTTGTAAATGGTGGACTACTGCATGAGAGATGCGTCCTTGATTGTTGGCTGTATAATGCCAAATGTCATTGGCAACACCACTGTTTTGAATACCACGCGCAAGGATTGTCCAATATTGAAGGTTGAGCGAGCGATAATGGAATAAAATGGCATCTTCAGTGCTCTGATCGACTTGTCTTCCATTCAATCTTGCATGTGCAGAGATGTCCTGATAGGGTTGTGATCCATCTTTCAAGAATTGTTTTCCAATACGCATTCGACATCGGTTGGCTACTCGCAATAAGAATCGAACATCATCTGTGAATGCTGCTAGTGCCGTTACTTGCAAATCGTAAAGCACACCTCTATGATCGGTCATTTGAGCTAAATGGATGCCCGTGGGTACTGCCACCAAATACTCGAGTACTTGAGCCATCATCGTTTGTAATTCTGCATACTCCTTATGTGACAGCATTTGTGCACGACGTAATAACCGCATGGCGTCAAGTAGCAATGTCAAATCGGTCTTGCTGAGATCAATGGTGGATATGAGTTTGCTGTCGGTGTATTTGGGCATCACATGGGATACACGATTGAGACTTGGAAATGAGTAGCCTTGGTCCGATAAAAACTCGAATAGATGCGTATTCTCAGATGTCATGCGTGCAGTGCTGTATTCGCTTTGCTGGTCACCCAATGCTCGTTCACTGAGAAAGTAGACGCGGATTAAGTTGGCTGCCCATCGACCATACTTTTCATTGCCAAGGAGATAGTTCCCAAGTGCAAGTGTCGTAATGTTGCGTGTCAATGATCCCAACGTATCCAAGGCGGGAGGATTGATACCAGGGTGATGCTCGCTGTTGATACTCATACCAGCATCCAAAATATGGTCCACATCATCGGTCGCTGCCATAGGTGCTAGCTGTTCTCGTGTGTGTAATAAAACATCATCAACACGCTGTTGGAATATGGTCATGCTTGATAAGATGGATGAATCCTCGCTCCAAAATCGATGACGGATATGTGCCAATTCGGTTTCATTGTAGAGAAAAAGACGATCGTGACGGAATGTATGTCTCGCAATACGTTCATCCAAAGCATCCAATGTCGATTGAATAGCCAAAAGTCGATTAAAGGCACGGATGGATGATGCCTCTTTTTTGCTTTCCTCTTGTGCCTGGTTACCAGAAAACAATCGAAACACCCATCCAATGAACCGGAAATTGCCCTTATCCTTGCTATAGGCTCGTTCCTTTGGTTCCCAAGCAACAGTAGGTCGATTCAATTTGCGATTCTCCAAGGCACCAAGTCGCCATAACAATTCCAGCTGCAAGCAGTACTAATTAATACCTTGATTGTTGATTTCATCACCCATGTCCCTTACCTTGCTACGTCTTCCATATCGCATGTTGAGATTATACTCTTCCTCTGCATCAAAGCGAAAAATGATTTGTGGTTCTTCATGCGAACGTGGACGTTCATCCATGCTGTTCAAGAGATCCGAATTGTTCAAGAGACGTGTCATGGGCACAACAAAGTACTTTGTATCATCACCGAATCGATCCAATTGTGTCTTGATCTCGTCAAATGCATTCTGGCTGAGATAACAGTTGCCATCAAATGGCATAATCCACTTTGCATTTCCAATTGAGCGACCATGAGCCAAGGCTGTATTGCGACCACCATTCTATGATCCAATGTATTAATACTCCCTGTCATCCTTCCATGATGATCATGATCCTTACATTATTCATTGCATAAAGGTTCTTATCATGATAGGTGTAATCAAGGGCACGCAGCTTGGCTACTTTGGAGAATCGTCGATAATCATCCGAATGCAAGAAATCAGGTTCTGGGAAATCCTCTAATCGAAAATCGATACGCTGGTATTCGGTCTCATTGAATGCAATGTTCAAATACTCGGCATTGTAACGTTCCAGCAGTTGAATAATGGCGCGTTCATTGACGGGATCGGTGATACGATTGAGGACGAATATTTTACGCGTATTTGGAAATGATGGCTCATGCTCAAGGATAAAGCGTAGATTAGATAATGTCTGCCCTTCCTTATGGCGCGGTGGAAGATCATTGCCAATGATACGATAGAGGAGGAGTTGATCACGATACTGACTGCTGGTGCTTTGTACATTGGATGAAGTGGTGGGATTCGGTAGTGAAAGGTGGAAAAAGGGTATGTAACCGAATACAAGAGCAAGAAACAAGATAACAAGCAACGGCCTTAACCACCAGCGATTGCGATGGTAGTAGCGATAACGATGGGGTTGAAAGAATCGACGCGGCTTGTCCTTGACAGACCAAAAAGAAGACAATGGTCTACGACGTGCTGGAGAACCAAGATCGACTGCAATGTCTGTGCCGAGGTGGTTGCCCATTGGGTTATTCATCCTTCGTTGCTTTGCATTGTAGTAGTCATTGTAGGACCTATTCACCGGTGATGAGGGAGACTGTGGGTTGCCAGAAGCTGGTGGAAAACGTGTGTCGAGGCCATTGCTGAATGAAGGCGGCCGCATTGTCGACGAAGGACCATAAAGTTCAATATATGCAGCTGGAAGAAATGATGGTTTCACTTGCCATTCAATCTAATGGTCATAAACAGAGGTCACGAGCGCTGGTTCCTGGATTACCAACCACCAACATAGTTTTATGCGCGCATCTTGTTTCATAGCAACCCCACCACATCCATTCCCCAATTCATCATGCCCATGGATACCATTAATGTTGCCAATAAATCATCACCCCTTGCTAGTTGTACTACTGCTACTACACTGGAGCCTTGATGTATACAATTAGAGTCAAGATATGGCTGGTCAACTACAGCAATCATATTCAATTTAATACAATTCCCTTAATCAGTCATCTTTCAATGCCTTGTTTACCACAAAGAGGCTAATCACAAGGAGAGTGCCAACTTGGAGACGCTCGGATATTTTGCTCCTGAAGCGTGTTACACACGTCCTACTCTGCTATGGCTTTTACTTTCCAAATTGATACATTTGCTTGTTGACATCTCTTTCGCGAATTCTCACAAATGACCCGTAGCGCCGCATTACTCACCGATAACAGTGCCAAGCTTGCCTCTGTAAAAGTATGACGAGTTTGTCGTTTTCATAAAAGCATGCTAACCCTTTCATGATGTAGAAGGAGGAGACAAAGGATGTTAAGAATATCTTCGACTCCTCCATCACCACCTCCTCCCCCTCTTCTTCACGCCAAAAAGAGACAGCTGTAGTAAGTCAATCCTATTACATACCATGATGAGCTATTTAATTAACCTTTACATAAAAAAAAAGTCCACGCCTGATTATCTAAGTGCCAAGTTTGAAGAGCTTGCTATCGAATCCTCGGCAGATGAGCGTCCAAACGCGACCACCGTGATTGACTATTTGACTGGCTCTGGGCAAGAGCGCCCAGAAATTGGTGACAAGCCCCTTGAAACGGTAAAAGGATCATGCATGATCATCCAACCTCATAAGCTGATTCATGTTGCTGCTTACTAGTGGGTAGTTGATAACATCGACATCACCTCTAAATTGATGGAGTTCAGAGCACGATCCTTGTCACTTGCCAAGAGACTCAAAAACATTTCGGATGCCCGTATCATGTAAGCTTCCGTTTTATAGCTAAATGATTAATCAATAACACCAACTTGCTATATCATTCTACAGGTCTTTGAATTTCATCTTTCCCTTTCACGATGACGTGCTCCCATATGATGGGTTGCCAGAGACCATTGTCAAGGAACTTGGAATGGATCAAGGTTTTGAAGCAGCTGCTGATCAAAGCATTGTATGGTGCCATCGTGTGCAGCAGGTATTGTAGCAACTATCATTTTAAGAATGAAAAGGGTAACGTTTACAGGGCTATCATGTAGGCCATTGGTAAAGGTAAACATGCGGTGCGTAGAGAGCTGCATGAAATTGAAGGCAAATTGCTTGACAGCCCACAAGACGAGCAATCTTTGGCGATTCTCGATATTTTACGTGACACAAGCATCAAGCTCGCTAACTGGCAACATGGCAGCATCACCGAGGATACCTTTTGCAGACAACATTTACAAGACTTTATTGATCATTGCATTAGCTTCATGAGCGGAATTCGTTACAGCTGGTAAGTATTTGATGTCATGCATTATGCTTTTAAGATGTCAACAATAACATTCAACGTTTTTTAGGTCTGGTCGACAACGCTTGCAATGTGACGCAAAAGGCAAAGCAGCATCAATGGCAATACACTTGCCTGATTATATTGCGTCAATTCAAACTCGCAGTGAAAAGATCTTTCACGATGTCTTTGTCATCGAGGCTAAAAAGCCCCATGCCAGCAGCGGTCAACAGCTACTGAATGATCGTTGCAAGCTGGCATTGGAGATGAAGAAGATGCTAGATGCCATGGTGGATGCTCGTGTCCCATCCCCTGTCGTTTGTGGTCTGCTTGTGGAAGGTAAGGAAGTTACATCACATCATGGCCATGTCATTAAAGTGTATGAAAATAAAACAAGGTCACGAGTGTACCAGCTACAAGATGGAGATGGTGTCGGAGGCGGTGTATGCTTTAACAAGACTTGCCGAGTTCAGCCTTCTACGTGGGCAACACGACCTTGCCACCATTGTTAGCACCGTCCAATATTGTTGGCAGCTACGCAACATCATTGCTAGCTTGCAAAAACGTGTTCTCGATGGTGTCAAAGATGAATCAAAGGCCTCTTGGAAGCGTCCCCATTTTGACAAACCCATCAGAAAGAATAAAGCAGCTGCAAAGTAGTGTACTTGTCAACGTTTCAATCACATTCCTTTTGTGTTGATATGTGCTTGGACAACCAATATGTGGAAAAAAGATGCGTTGCATGGCAACGGCAGCAGCAGGTTAAGAGTTTCCTAATACACACCATGACGTGATTGAGGACCTAGGATTGGCGCCATTGAATTCACCCCAAACTATGTACAACAAAGATACATGCCTGGTGGATGCATAAAGGCAATGGACGTGTGTAGCTTTATGTATCATAGCAATAACCATACAACGACGTAACACGATGGCTGGTCATTATGGGCATCTCCATGTTAATCAAGGATGAGAAATCATGCCAATCGATTCTTGTGCAATTCAAACGTATTATCAAGAACCTCCAGAAAATGCATAAGCTGCATAATGCATGCATAGACAACTACTCCAAGAGACCCAAGATTTGGTACTAGAGCAATTAGAGTTAATTGGATAATGACCTGCAATTTTTACTTTTGGTGGCAACAATTATGCAATCTGCAATACGCCCACCATAACTCAATGCGCCTTCTTGCAGTCGTTCAGGGAGAGCCTAGAACTTTGTGTGCGCTTTCTCCTTTTCCCCAATGCTTGCTTATTTACACTGGTTGTATGTGTGTGCGGGTGAGCCCTCTTCCATTACCTCGGCCCAAGTGATTGGATAACTTGTGTTGCAATGGTGTTATTATTGACAATTGCCATTGTGGACATGAGGCCCAGCCACAGCAGAATGATTGGATGGTCTATTCCACGTGGCACGAATGTTCCGTGCAACGTATCACATGGTACATTCAACTGGCTGAGTCGAGGCTTTTCTTTGTCATCATCGCATACCACGTCGCATACTTTGTTGGCATGAAGCAAAGGTCTGTTCATTTGCATACAATGTCATCATGCAATTGGGCTGAAATGATGCTGCTGCTGTATGTAAAAGGATCCGACATCGGGCATGTTTTGTATATGGGATTCGAGGTGGAGATAGGAACAAGGATTTACAGCACTTGTTGGCTTTATCATCCGCTGTTCGTTGTAATAATGATGTCGAGACTTTCATTCTCTTTCGCTGTAATTAAGCATGAAATCATTGTTTAGGAAAGTGGCTGATTATTGTCGCCGCCGCATATCGTCGATGGTTTTGCCATTTTCGAACAGCCATTTATTGGACTAAAAAAGGCACATGCCTGTCAACAGAGGATGTTCCCGCCGCACAAACAAAACCAGGGCCGGGCAGTCATAAACATGATGACATTGGTTATCCTTTACTATATACGAACGCACTACCATAAATATACGCAAGGCTGCATAATCACTACAATGAACCTTGCCAAAACAGTGAAAGAAAGCTTGTGATGGGCGTTGTTGATGGTCTGCATCTCCCAATGTAAAATTAGAAAGAGAGCTTTTCAGCACAGGCAGGGCATGGTAAATGAACGCTTATTGGATCATTGCCATTTGCCATGTTGTGTGGTGTAACCGCGCGCTTTGAGTTATTTTCGTTGGGGGGAAGGGGAAAAAGACAGCAGGGCACATAAACATACGCACATCCTATTACCCATTCGCTCCTTCTCATTGGCTTTTGAGCTGTAAAGATGGTCTCACACCACACATACACATTCAACATACGCATATGCAAGCACATGCACGTACATTTATATAAACACTATGCCGAGTGCCCAAAAAAACGGGTGAGACAGAAACTATTTGACCATGTGTGTACATGATCCAGGAGAGCAAAAGAGTAGATCGAGATGCACCGATACAAGAAAAGAGAATGAAAGAGCCCAGACCCTCAATATTGATAAATTGTCTCTTTACATGCCTATTTTTGTTCGAGTGGATGGAGAAAGAGAGAGAGTGGATCAGGGGTTTTGGGGGTGGATTGAACAAGAAGAAGAAAGACGCTGATGCTGGGGGGAGGCATACACCATACATATACTGCACTCTTTATCTCTCCTCTTTCGCCACGCAAAAAAGAGAGGCCTTGTTTATATAAATCCCAAAACGGATTCTCTTTTTCTATTTTTCTTTTCCCTTTCCCAACTTTTTGATTATATCCTTCAACATGTCCACCGTGGATAATCTTGCATTGGACTTGACACACCTCTCCTTTGATACCCAACCAGATCTTCTTGCAACGACCACTCACGCAAGCTCATTTTTATCTTCATCGGCTTCCTCATCCTCTCGACCAGTGAGCCGTAATGGCGGTGGATTACCGTCTATCACAATCACGCAGGGTGAGTTACAGGGCAAAAAGATCTATCCATTCTTTGATTCTCCCCACACACCCACACAAACACCCCGATCCCCTTTGTCGGGCCCCCTTTCCTCGTATTTCAATCTTGGTTCTTGCATAGTAATCTTAATACGTTTTTTGGTAATAGAGAAAAAAACACCACGCAGCAGCCATCGTAATCGTCAATGTGTACCCAGCGATGATGAAGACGATGATGAAGATGAAGATGAAGGCGATAGCTCTGATGATGAAGATTTCAAGGAAAAAAGGCCGGCAAGTTCTATCACGTCAAAGCCGCCGCCACCACCACAGCATCGTAAAACACAACTTCCAAGTGATGACGAAGGTAAGAATTCAATTCCTTGTTGGGGAAAAAGGAGGGGGACATGCACCAACCACGACAATGAATAACATTGTTTTATATTTTTAGACGATGATGAAGATGATGATAGTGACGATGAATTGGTGATTGCACCTAGTCCAATGTATCGACGTTTGAGTGGTGTTGGATCAACAAGCAACCTTGCCGGTACTAGTAGTGGTGGTCGACGTTCACCTACTCCACAGCAACATCATCCTCAACATCAACCACAGCAACGACCTAGTGAAGTAGCCAAGCGACATTCGGATGGACATCTTGATTTATCGGCGACTGAAGGCACACATATCCATCACTTGCAGCAAATGCAACAATACCAACAGACTCAGCTAGCGCAGTTCCAACAGCACTACAACAACAATCTGTCAGCATCAGGAGCAGGAGCAGGAGCAGGAGGAGGGGTAGCACAGCGACATCATCGTGTGAGCGGTATGGATTTGCTTAAGCAATTGGAGCAAGAAAAAGCTGGGATGAAAAGAAACACCAAACCCAAAGTCAACACGTCGCATGTCAAGATTGAAAAAGGGTTATTGGCCAACTTGCCCGAACCTGGCTCACATAGCATTAGCTTTCAAGCAATGCAAAAACAGGCATCTGAGCAACAAAAGCAACACCATCGTCAGTATCTTCATGCAGCCAACATGTATCAACCTCAACAACAACAACCACAACAGCCAAACTTTGTATACCCCTATCAAATGGGCGCTGCCGCCGTATCTTCCTCGCCATCCCTTATCATGATGGATCCCAACCAATACCATCACATGCAACAACAACAATTTTATCAACAACAACAACAACAGCATCATCATCATCATCATCATCCACCAAGCAGACCATCGAGTGCCATGAGTAATCATCACGATGCTGCATCACGTCGACGAACGGGTGATTAGACATAAAAAAGATTTTGATTTTTATCGTTTGCAAAAGCACGCCCATAACAACCCCTTCTCAAAACCTTATATTACATTTTCTTACTACCTAGTTTTTTCTTCTTCTCTTTCTATCCTTCTCGTTGCATGAACATACAATTACAAATTGACTCTTTTTTTTCCCTGGAAAACAAAATAAATGTAGCTCCCTCTCGCCTGTCCTCCTCCTGGTGCCTTTTACAGATAGTAGTCGTAGCCTTCAAACCTTCTTCATCCATTCCCACCTGACACACATACACACGTTACCGAAAGGAACCTAATGAGATGATGATGAAATGATGAATACCTTCTTTTGTTTAAAGGAGGAGGATGATGATGCTTTACTTACTTCGGCACAGGTCATTGAAACCACATCCAGAGCAATCTTGAAGTAATTGGGAACATCCACATCCGCATAGCTCGACACCACTTTCGGTTAATACAGAGGAAGGCTTATCGATAATCGATGGTTTGGTGTTGATATGGGATGACGGTGGTGGTGGTGGTAATGATGACGATGAAGATGCTGAATCAGGAGTAGTGGATGAGCATATGGCTGCAATAGAGAGTTGACGTCTTGGATTATCATCATCATCATTGGTGTTGACATAGGGATCAGAAGAACCTCTCATAGCACGAGATGGATGTGCATCACAACCAGGACATGCACACGAATCGCCACAACGACAAGTGACTAGGCGTACACGTTTGTTCGAGGCTGCTTTTGCTATCGTTGGAGCTGTGCCACAACAAGAATCGCCACATGATGAGGATGATGGCTGCTGCTGTTGCTGTTGCTGCGGTGAAGATGAGATCGGTGAGGATGAAGATGGTGATGATGAAGAAGAGCAACAAGATGTAGTAGATGAATGTGGTGGTGATGGTGATGGTGATGATGATGAAGAAGAGGAGGAGCAACAAGAAGAGGAGGTGGTAGTCATAGCAACGGGTGGTGTGCTGATAGGAGAATGCGAAATGGTGTTGTTGTTGTTGGATGCCCTGGTATTTTGGGATGAGCAACATGATGGCTTGGCAACACTGTTATCTATCGTCCCTTCTTCCTCACTCAAAGTAATACGTATGGGTCTAGGTGCAATAGCGCGTAAGCTGGAATGGATGGCTTTTTCTTTTGTTGGTTTCTTGATGGATCGTGGCCGTATTACTGTCGAGGGAAAAACAGAGGGTGTTAATGCACCGAATTTATATGGCACTCCCACACACACGCACAACATACCAGGTGTATCGTTGCAGTCGCATTTTACATGGAGTTGTCGAACCAGTCGTAACTCTCGGCAGCGAGAACATTGTGTTGCAGGTCGTCCTTTCTTTTTGATTTCTATCAGTGGTCGATCCTTGTGATTGCAGTGGGAAGCTCGATGACCCTACAACAATGGCTTTAGCAAATCGCTGCTACATGCAAAAGCAAAGCGGGGCCAATAGTACCTTGATACACGTTGCTAAAAGATAAATGAGACACATGGGAATAGGAGTGAATGAGGTTTACAATGACATACCACATGCGACCTTTTTGCCGTCCACTATCATAATAGCTGGCCCATGCGAGGAGTAAAAAGCGAAAGAAGTGCTGAGCAACCAATGGTTCTCCGATTTGTATATATGGCTGGGCTATTTCTTTTGAGCTTATCCAAATGGGAAAATGTATGCTACTTTCCTGCATGCAGCAAGATGATGAAAACCAAAACAATGCTCACATGTTAAATACCTAATGGGATCGGGAGCGGTTTATTCAGAGGACAACAACATGGTTTACAATCATTGAACACGCCATTGGTATGAAGACCCATAGTAGCATTAGCTTTCTCGCTCGATTATTGTTGACAAACGAATAAATCTTACGTGTAATTGTAAACATAGGGTGTCCTTGATGTTTGTAATAAAGTAACGAGAAGGATGATCACCAGATTTTGCGTAACACAGTGCTTCGATTACCAAGAAACCTGTCAATCAATTCCTTTTACTCTGCTCCGACGGGTTCCTGATAAAGCGTAGTGGCTGAAATATATACAACATCAGTCATTTCAGTGGTTACGTCTTTTAGACTGTTGTTTCTTTTGCGGGATTGACGAATAGCAGGCGTTGTGCCACCCTTCTCCACAACTCTTCTCCGCATATACATAGCATACACATCATGTGCAGAAAACAATAAAGACAATGCAATCACCATTGGCATGTGACATGTTCAGTTGTAATTGCTCTTTCCCAAGCCCATGCATATGCATGTAAATGGATTTTGATATAACTTTATGCCCATACGGTGTTTTCGAATGATGTAAAAAGGACCAATGACTATTGTCGAAAAGCTCTCTAGCAGGGCCAAGATTATAAACACAGCACTCCGCCATTTGTTGGTCTTCAAAGAATTTGATCTAAAACAGCCGTATTTCTCTTTCCGTTTTGTCATCGTCGCCGATAACTTCTCGTCACCACCACCAGCACCACCAGCATCACCTTTCTCTGATACCACACCTCCACCTCCACCACCACCCGTGTTGATGCTGCTGTCATGAATTTCTTTAACTCAAAAGCCGAAAAGGCTAGTCCTGCAGCATCCGTAACCGCCGCCGCTTCTTTTAAAGAAGAAACATCTTCCGGAGGTAATGATAATAAATAGCTGTCAATAATCCGTTATAGCCCTATGTTGACACCACCACCACCACCATCCATCATTAGTTGACATCGAATACGATGTTGGCCGCTTCAATCATGGTATTGACCGAGAAGGTCAAGGATCCAGTTTCCTCGCTTATTTCAACATTGTCTGTGTTGTGGCAGGCACCGGTGCACTCCAATTACCAGTAAGAATTCCCCGAGTCTTTATTGATTATCAAGATGTTCACATGTATCTATCTCTTTATTAGTATGCACTTGCACAAGGTGGTTGGATAGGTAGGTATAGCTAAAATGACGTGGTATGACGAAGCATACTGATGAATCCATACTTTTTGGGCAGGCTTGTTAATTCTATTTCTCAGCTGGATCTTTTCTACTTGTAAGTCATCCTACTTTTGACGTTTAATGTGGCATCGATTCTCATTCACATCTTTCCCACGCACACATTATGCAAATCATGCTTGTATTCAGATTCTGGTGTTGTACTTATTCGATGCTTGTATCACGACGGTCAATCACGCCTTTCTTCGTACCAAGAGGTGGCCCATGCAGCATTCGGTGTCATTGGCAGCTGGATCGCGTTCTTTTTTACGGCTATTACCCTTATTGGTGTCCCTGTCCTTTGGGTGATGCTTGCTGGACAAAACCTTAACCAAGTATGCGCAGGCACATCAGCTGAATTGACAATGCCCATTTGGACCATTATCTCGGCAGCGGTGGTGGGTATCCCCTTTGTCTTTTTCAAGTCGCTCAAAGAAGTCGGCATTGGCAGTCTTTTTGGCATGTTGACAACCGTCATTGTGGTGCTCATTGTACTCGGCGAAGCGATCGTTGACCAAAACTCACGTGATCTCAACCCACACCATGATCCTGTTATCTGGGACAAGTTTCCTGTTGCATTGAGCTCCATCGTATTCAGCTTTGGTGGCAACCCTGTTTATCCAAACGTCGAAGCCGGCATGCGTACACCCAAACATTGGAATCGTGTGATCTTTGCAGGCCTCGCTACGTGTGTGGCTATCTACTTGGTGTCAGCTATTCCTGCCTACTACATTTATGGTGATGTCGTCAAATCGCCCATGTACAACAGCTTGCCAGAGAACAATGGCAAACTCGCTGCTATCATCTTGATCACCGCTCACGTGCTACTTGCCATGCCCATCCTTATGACATCATTTGCCCTCGACCTCGAAAAGTTAATGCACATTTCAACATTCCATCATTCACGCTGGCTCGAATTCATTTTACGTGCTCTCTTGCGTATCACAATGATGGTTGTCGTCACCGTCATCGCTATTGAAGTCCCATCGTTCGGCAACATCATGTCGCTTCTCGGTGCCTTTTCCAATTGTGCTCTGATTTTGATCTTCCCTATCATCTTTTATTATCGTCTCACTGGTCTCTTCAACAAGCCCTGGTATGAGCTCATCTTTGGTGCCGTTGCCATTCTTCTCGGTATCGTTGGCTTGATTTTCGGCAGCATGGATGCTATTAAAGGTCTCATGAAGGAATTTGGCCCACAGTAAAAAACCCCATCTTTTGTACTCTTCCATTATTTATTTCCCCCATTACCACCCAAAGCATAATCCCCTTCTTCCACCCTTCCTTGTTGTTGATTCCTCATTTCCTTCATCTCTCTCTCTTTCTTTCTTCATATACTTTTCTTTTCTACTCCTGTGTACTATTATTTACATGTATAAAAAAGCATCGTTTCCCTTTTCTGTACAGAATGAGAAAGAATCAAATAAGGTTTTTGTGGCTGTAACCTGTCGATCCATTTTATTTTGTCTTGATTTGGCATGTGTGTTCGATTTCCGCCCCCTGTCGTGTTTATGTTCTTTGTGCATCATTTACAAGTTGATGGGCTGATTCCACGTACCTAGAAGGGGTGGGTACCCGACAACAGCCATCTAACTCCCAAATACATGAGTTGATTCTTGCGTAAGGGGACCATTCATATTTGCCTAAAGAGCCATGTCCTTCTCAATGGCAGATTAACAACAGCTCTCTTACATGTACGCAGGTGATGATATACATCAAAAAGTCAAAGGTTGCAATTGTTGACATCCTACAACGAGGATTTATGGCTGTGTCTAGGGGGGGTTGGGATTTAACCGGAAACGAGATTATAAAGGTTATTCTCAAAAAGCAACCTAACGCTTCCGAGCAGTCATCTCGCGCGAGAGAGAAAGGTCGTAAGGGATGTACCACACAATAAAAAGTAGAGACTATGTACGATGCTGAGAAGTAAAAAAAAGTATAAAAGAGCTGGACAATGAAATGACAACAAAGAAGACATCCCACAACAAAATGCTTGAATCCTCTTCTCCTTATCCTGAATACAATCACAAGCTCCAAAAGGACAATGTTTTCCTTGACACACCCGAAGTTACTCAACCTATATGGCTTGAGCCCAGACGTGGTTCTATCCCTCGTTGGATCAATGGCATTATGTATCGTACAGGTAAAGACATGATGGGTGATGGTTATCATTTTTCATTCACTCACCATGATTGATATCTCTCTTTTAGGCCCTGCCAAGTATAAATTGGATAATGATACCGTGATCACGCATGCATTGGATGGAATGCCTTTTGCACATCGATTCGAATTTAAGGATGGCAAGGTGCGATACAATTCCCGACATATTGCAGCCTCGGTGGAAAAAGCACTTTTGGACAAGAAGCAGGTGCCACTCTTTGTTGGCTATACCCCAGAGAAAGATAGCTGGATGTGGAAGGCACCCAAGATGCTTGAACCGCCTGCATCAGATCCAACAGCAGTGTTAGCTGGAGAAACCATATCAGCCGTGTCACCCGTGATACCTGGTAGTAGTAGCGAAGAAGATGGCGATCCTTTGGTGGTTGTAGCACGTTCTTCAGGTGCATATCAGCAACACATTCACTCGGATACACTAGGTAAAATCATAGACATCTCCCCCCGATATTATGCACATTGACTGATTTCTTACATACCATAGAGCCAAAGAGAGCCTTCAAGTATGGTGAGCTTGATCCAAAGCTGGAAGGCATGATGAGCTCGTCACATGCAAAAGTAGACCCTGTTACTCGAGAAGTTGTCAACTTTATGGCTCATCCTGCTACTGGTATCACGGTCTTTAGTCATCAATCAAAAACCAATACGACCACCATCCTTGGCACAATCACCCATCGCAAGATACCCAATGATCCCGTGCCTATTGAGCCATCCTTTATTCATTCATTTTGGCTATCACCTACGTATGTTATTATTCCTGAGATCCCTTTACGATTGAAGAATGGTGGTATGGATGCCATGGAAACAGGATCCTTTGCAACGGGTCTTGCTTGGGACCAAGGATCACCTGCCTACTTGCACATTGTGAGCCGTGTCGAGAAACAGCATGTAGCAAGTGTAGAGGTTCGACCTGGATTTTTCATGTTTCATGACGTGAATGCATTCGAGGACCAAAGCAACAACGACCTTGTGTTGGATGCACCCATTTTTGACGATGCTGATATTTTGATGCATACACACATGTTTGGATCCAATGGGATTCAGAGTACCTCGCTCGTTCATCAACAAGAAAGTGAAAGCAAAATGAATGGCATGACCTATCCTCCTCGTCAAGATACCATCCCTGTATGCCGCTTATGCCGTTTTTGGATTGACACACGCACGTGGCAGCTCAAGGAGCGCAAGGTCTTGGCTGATCAATTTGAGTTTCCTGCTGTAGCACGTCCCATGCAACCTTATCGCTTTGCTTGGGGAGCATCAGGTATCACTCCCTCTTCATCAAGTGTATCAAAAGACAGTAGCACATTCCCTCAACTGGGACTTGTCAAGGTTGACGTAGAGCAAGGTACCACCACACGCTTTGATAAACAACACTGGGCATGTCAAGAGCCCATTCTTGTATCCAAACCAGGCTCTGATCAAGAGGATGAAGGTGTCTTGTTGACTCAAGTGAACGCTTTTGACGCTAATGGTGTCGAAAATCTGTTGGTCATTATTGATGCCAAGACGATGGAAGAGCTTGCAGTCTGCGTCATTGGTGATTTTGCAGCATCCACTTTACATGGCTCATACATTGATTTGTCATCGTAAGCTCAATAAAGTATTTTATATGATTGTTGGCCATACATACATAGCGGCTTTTTCTACAGCGAAAGGGGAGAAGATTCGCAATGCAAAGTTTTACATTCAATTTATTGTTGATAGCTTCAATAAAGGAAGGAGGTGATATTCAGATGATGCTTTTCTTTTCTTTTTTTTACTCAGGATACAATCTTTCGAGGATTTCAGGTACAGCACGATCAACATTGCCATTGTACTCAGTCAACAATCGAATAGCAAGTTCATCACAAAAAGTAAGGCCCTAATGATTTGAAAGTGTCAATACAGTCATTGCTTTCTCATTCTTTGGCTACTACGACTTACCATTTCATGGATTTGTCTCATTTGCTGATCAAAGAGACCTGGCACAGGGTTGTTAATAGCTACATTGCGCTGTGCGTTGGGAGTTGAAGTTGCTGGGCTGGTATTTGTTGTTGTTGATGATGGTGGTTGCCGATGAAACGAAGCCGTTGGCGTGGCAACCTTGGGAGGTGTTTTCTCATGGGGATTTTGTGTAGTCTGGTCATTGTTGTTGTCGATAACCACAAATTCTTCAGAGCTTGCACGTGATGATGTGTGATGTCCTTGATGAGGCTCATCATCATTGTTGCCATGGATCTCTTCCTCTTCCTCAGAGGATGTTTCAAGGCTGCTGCTGCTTAATCGACGAGAAGGTGTATAGCTGGTGATTGAAGGATCCATGAATGGGTCATCGTCATCATCGTCGTTTTCATCTGACGGATCCAATAACTCATCATGGCGGATGACAGATGTAATATCAACAGCGGATGGACGTTGTTGGTTATTCGAAGAGGAGGAGGCGGAAGAAGAAGCTGTGCTGATGGTGGGATAGACCATACTATTGTTGTTGCTGTTGTTTTCAGGCACAGAGATGATATCCACCCACAAGTCATCACCAAACAATTGGCCATTTGGACTACGTAGCTTGAATTCAGTGCGGTAGTGCCCTGGTTGTCGTGGAATTGTGATCATTGTGGAGATGGTAACAAAGGAACCAGGTTTGGTGGCTGGCAAAGCTTGGTTGGTGGCTCGTAACATTTCAATGTCATTGCTGGAAACAGGTTGCAGGATTGTACCATTTGGCCACACATCACAACCATCATTCAACATTTTCCACATCTATAATAAAGGTTATCAGCATCCCTGGTGGTAGTGGTCATCGTTGGTCATGTATGCATGCTTACCTTTCGTACTACTCGACCTGCTTCCATTGAGGTGCCATCGGGGATATTCATGTCGTTGACAAACTTGGCTGACAAAGAAAGCTTGGGGCTCGAAGGAGCTTCAGGTTTGGCCAATACATTTGATCTCTTGCTTGTGGTGGAGCTGGTGACGCTTTGAAGACTTGCAAGGCTGATACTTCCAAAGCGGTTGAGCTGGATTGGGGAATAATCTGAATATCGAGGTGTCGAGCTCTGTGAATTGCATTTGGATCGAAATACATTGTTGTTGGTGGATTTGGCGGATAACAAAGGAACATCCGTGCCAAGGGTCACAGGATTGCGGATCTTGATAAAAAGGTGTGATGGATCGTGGATATCAGGTGCCATTGTTTCACACATCTCACATAGATCATAATCGGTACAATGACCACACTACATCATCATGGATTCCTATTAGCTTTCTCCACCATTGTTGGATGATGGTACATAGCTGTCATATTTACCTTGTAACGAATACCCACAATGCTCTTGTCGCAGCGATCGCAAATGATACCAAGATGTCGCTTGGGAGAAGAAGACGATGATGATGATGATGATGATCCACGTTGATCTTGTTCCTGCTTAGGGCTAGGCGACTGGTGTGTAATAAAGGGGTGCTTTGGATGGTGGCCGTGTTCACCAAGCTTGTAGCATAGATGACAGAGATCAAAGTCTAATAATGTTGATTCGACAACATGTGAGAAAGAAGCATTGAAAAGGAAGAGAGATCCTTTGATTACCTTTGCAGATGGTACAAGAATGTCTGGTACCAGCAATACGAGCTTCACAATAGTCGCAAGCATACACGGGAGGAACAGTGTTGTTGTTGTTGTTTGTTGTTGATGATAGATTGTGCTCATGGCTGATTGACGATTTGCATCCTTCGCATAGATTGATTCCTTTGCAAGTTGAACAACTGTAAAGTTGCCTAATGATGGATGAATGAATGAATGATCGAAAAACGAGAAAAGTGAGAGAAGCTTACATATCCTGTGGGACACTCTTGTTGCAGTGGCTGCATAAACGGGCGGAAGATGATGGTTGCACAAGAGGCGCCAACGCCTCGTGATAGCTTGCCGCAGCCTTCTTGGCAACGTCGTCCATGGCTCTCTGCCGAGCTTCCATTTGTAACCTTGTCAACTCGAATTCAAACCTTTCAAGAGCGTTCTTCACTGCTGGCGAAGGCTGTGCATCTTCATGCACCTTGACTCGGAATCTTCGAATACGTCGTAACTTTACTATGCGTAAATCCAAGACGCCACTCATCGTCACCGAACTTGCATCCTCAGGATCGTAGTAGAGTATATCAAAGTTGTCACTCTGCAGCTTGAACAACGTTTTGATCTAGTCATCAATGTTAATGACATGTATAAATTTCCGTCAAGTAGCAGCAGCAGCTGCATGTAGTAGTAGTACCTTGTCTCGTAACTTGTCCAAGGTAATATCCTCCTCAAAAGGAAATCGCCTCGTCTCATTGCGTCCTTCCAATGTCGCTTTGGCTGTTGAATCCATGTTGACAATGAGAAATGAGAAAGAAGTGAAATGGGGCGTGAGAGTAACAAGGAGTGAGAAAAAAGAGGGAAGAAAGTCTTGGCCTCCGCGTTCAATGCATAGTTAATACGTGGCTCCTCTTCTGACTTTGAACACACACCATGCTAAATCTGGCATCCATTAGCCATTATTATGCAGCAGCAGATTAGGTATACAACATGTTTATTGAACATGGTTGGGAAATACACATGTTTTTAAGCCATCGTATGACGATCCGAACCTTGTTGTTGATGATGATGATGATGTCGATAGTAAGGTGTATCAATCCCCGTACTTGAAGCAAAGGTCTTGTTCACTTCAGCGTGCTTTTCTTTTAAATCATGCTCTCGTGCTGATTTTCGATCGAGTTGTTCGGAAGGTAAAAGCACAGCATGATCAATAGCCGAAGGTAAGCCACGATGTCGTCCACGGTACATGAGTAAAATGATCACGAGCTTGCTTAACGTGTGGTAATTTGCTGTTTGTGAAGTGCTCAACCTCGGGTATCCAAGCGAGCTGCCGGCTGTGCCAAAAGCAGAGACACATTCATACATGATCGACAACACCGTGATGGGGGTCTGGGCCATGATTTCTTTACTTTCAATCACGCATACGCAAAAGATACCTGCAATGACCCAACTGATTTCCTTTGCTAGTTGTCGTTGCATTTGAAGCTTCACATAAAAACTTGGCGATTTTGGTAATAGTTTTCGTGAGGTGGAGACAACACTATTGATGGTGGGGAGTCGACGTAGCCTAGTGCTTGTGCTTGTTGTCGTTGGCAGTAATGGCTCAATATTATCATCGTCGCCACTTTGCTTGACAATAGGATCACTATAGATTCCCAACTCTCGTTCCTAGTTGAACCACCAACGCCATTAGTCAAAGAATCCCTGTTGTTGCTATGGTAATCTCACCTGGAAAATGTTGCTATTGCGGATACTGATTGCCACAGGGTAAACGCTGATGTACATGGCAATGATATACACGATTTGAGTACCTGGGTTCAATATTTCAAGATTGACCACTGCAAATCCAGCTATAATACATGTATAATAACATGTTGTCAATGAGGATCCTTTTTCCCTCCTATCATGATTGTGCAAAAACACTTACCATTGCGAATGGCCACGCCTTGAAAGTAAGCATCTAAAACGCGTGCTCCCCAAGATATCCCATCAAGGACTGGCAACCAAAAATTGGTTGCTAAGAAAACGACCATCTCGACAAGGTTGATGACAACCAAAGCAAACACCAACCACCAAGTCTGTGTTGACGAAAACAGGTTTGTATAGCAACGTCGTGGATGATCCAGTAAGAAACGCATGGTCTCGGATTGCATGGTATCATGTTTGGGCATGATTTTGTACAAGGTCCAAATGATCCCACGCAATACAATGGCATAGGCTGTGTTGCCAAAAATAATCAATAGACTGTAAAAGATCAGGGGTGCAGGTGCACTTTGAAAGGGTACTAAGCTTGCTGACAAGGGCGTTAAGCCCAAATTGTTAAAAGCGGACACACTAGTAAAGAAAGAAAACATCCAAGGATCCACGGGCTCTGGATTGGATGTTTCAAGGACACCTTGTGCATACGTTGAACAAGCAATGTAGATACGAAGCGCAAAACTAAACACCACAATCGTAAAAAGGTAGAAAAAGGGCACCAGCTTTGATAAAAAGTCAATAGCACGGTACTCAACGCCGCCAATATGGTATCGTTGCTTGCGTGAAAGTTGAGACTTGTGAATAGGCTGGCTCAAGATACGGGCGATTTCATCTTCTTCTTCCTCAGCTTCAGTAGCCAGTCGCGTTTCTTCAAATGAGGATGGATTTGGCGGTTTCGCTATCCAATTCAATAGCTTGTCATACTTCTTTAGCTGTTGTCGTGCTTGTTCACGTTGATAATCCACATCCTCATTAAAGCGAATATCAGGTGGTGGTCTTCTGCTGGTATCATCATGCGAAGCTGATGGGGTTGGATTGTTGTTGACACCATCCACCATTGTCCCCGATGACATTGATCGTCTTTGTGAAGATTGTAATGAAGGCACCGGTGTTGATGTTACACCGGATCTTGTGTCTTGATCATCACCATCATCCAGTTGACGTGAACGAATGTGGTTTATACGATCATAAATGTCCCTTCGCTTTTTCGCTTCATCCTTTTCAGTGGTATCTTTGATCGTGGAGGAGCGATGGTAGGGTAATTCAGATGTGGTGGATAGCATACGTGTGGGCAATGTACGCGTTCTCTTCAAGGCATTATTGCGACTTTTGTCATGTCCCTTGAGAAATCGTTGCTTGTTTTGTTCTTTCAAACGTCTGGCTCGATTATATAAAAGGACGTCTTCAAATCGTTTTGAAAAGTAGTATTTGCGCACCGATACAATACATAATGACACCAATATGTGTGAACCCAATATGGATCCGATCATCATGAGAATGAGATGATAATTGGCAAGCCGCGACATGTCAATTGTGTTGAGCCCCGTATTGGTAACCGTTGTAGTGGCCATGAAAAAAGCATCCATGAAGCTCCAGTTTTCATTTCTCTCACAGTACCAGAGACCTGTAAAGATAAAAACAAGAGCACCAATATAGAGGTAATGGTATTGAAGGAAATTCAGCTTCTCGTGCAAAAACCATTTGAGCTTGTCATACACCCGCCGAAATGGCGTTGTCATCGATTCGAGCAAAAGTGCCAAGGGAAGGAAGAAGAAAAAAGGACACAACAAGTATTTATTGCGGGACCAGCATGTGACATTTGTCTTGGATCTGGCCAATGTGTCACCGTGATCGGTCTACAATAGGTACGTCAAAATCTCATGTAGGCCGATGTCATGGCAACACAGTGTGGTGGTTGGTGTAGCCAAGGAAAATGGGTTGCTGTACAAAAACAGGCGTACGTATCATGGCAACGCATCACTTTGGTTTCCATAGAAACAGGCATGGTGTATCTTAAAAGGATGATGTGGTGCTTTACTCCGAGACATCTACTATGTTGTTGTTTGTTTACTTATGATCCATAATATAAATACTGATGCATGCATGACGCGATGTGTGTTCATTCCATTGTGAAAAATCTTTTTAATATGAAGAGCAGTTTACATGGTATTGAGTGTGTGCAGTGTGGAGAGCGAGTATATATGTATGTGTGTGTGTGTGAATGATGAACGCGTGAAGAGTATGTGCATGAATGTGTGTGTCGGATTGACGGGGGCAAAATGACCCAAGTCCATTGGATGGTGATGGTTGTATAATGCAGCTATTTAAGACCAGCGGTAAATGTTACGAGTTTTGCTTGATGATGATGACGATGTTGCGGCAACAGGACAATCAGATGCACGCGAGCAATTAGCGGTAGAGCATTCGGATACATTGCAAAGGTTTTTGGTGACTGTAGCAGTACTTTGGTTTCGTTGCCTTCGTACAGCACGCTTGCTACTACTAGTGCCACCTCCACAGCATTGCTTCTTGTCTCCTCCTCCTCCGCCACTACTACACTTGCTGCCGCCACAGCATGCTGAAGAGCCAGCGCACTTGTCACCACACTTGCATCCTTTTTTGCTGGTGGCAATCGCTTCATCCACAAGCTGAGATCGTTTACGACATTGATCATCGAGGTATACAAGCTTGATAAAGTTGCCATAGTCGCATGCAATTCCTGATCCATCCAAAGGTACAGCATGTCGAACAGTGGAAAACGGAAGTAATTCACTGGCTTCATCATAACTTTCATCGTCATCGCTGGAATCTTCATGTTCCCATGGTTGTTGCTGTTGCCTCTTTACTGCCGCTTCATCACCAAATAGCCATCGTTTGACATCATTCCATAAACCACGATTTTGAATGACGCCTGAGGAGGAAGAGGAGGATGGCACATGCTGGGTGAAATTGGCTTGCTTTTTGTGTGTGGTATCAAGGTCAAATGCCTCGACGGGTATCGTTACATCATCTTGACATCCTTCATCATAATACTTGAGCGATGCGAACCAGGCTTCCCAATCACCACGCCGTTTCTTGCGCACACCAGCAAGTACCATATTATTGCAAAAGACTAATCCTCGCCCAGCGAGCTGATCAATCTTGCCAAGGAATCTGGGTGTCAATGCAATATTGGTTTCACCTCCAAGCTGTTCAATATCCACCAAACCATCCGTAGAGGTACTACTCTCATGGTGAGCCATGGATGCATTGGTCATAGGTGGTCCATATACACGACGCCCTGTGGTTGTTGTGGTGATGCTGCTGCTGCTGCTGCCACCGCCACCATTACCACCATTACGCCGACGCGTTGATTTGAAATCATTGATGGTGGTGGTATCCTCTTGACGTGGTTTTCTCCGCTTTTGATGATAATCCTTGGAACATAGTGTGCAGCTTCCTTCATGTTTACCATCAGCACGCTCAAGTCGCCATACATGAACTTTTTCATCCATTGAACATGATGCAATACCAAAGCCGTTGCCAAAGCATGTATCGCATCCACGACATATTCCAGGACCATTCTCCACTTCACAATAGCGAGTAACCACCACTTGCGTAATAGGTCCATGATGATCGGCTGATTTGTCATTGTCATGTTCATCCAATCGATACATATTGTCGCTTCCATAGTAGACATCTTCAGCATGATTGAACTTGCTAAACTTCAAGAGTGGACCACCAGCATGGATTTCAGGCCTTTTTCTTTGAACGCCACCAGATGACAAGGTACACACGGCATCACCCGATTCAAAATCCCACACTTTGACAGCGCCATCACTGGAACCACTAACAAGGATGCCCATACCGCCAACAGGTATCTCAGTCGCAAGGGATGTAATGGCATGTCCATAATGTCCTTCAATGGTATAGACACACGTCCAAGTAGTAGTGCTGGTGTTGTTGTCTTGATCCAATGGTTCATCCATTTGCTGCTGCTGCTTTACCAGTCGTCGTTCCCAGCATTTGATCAAGCCATCCTTGGAAGCAGTAAACACCCATGTGATACCAAGTTTACGGTGCGGTGGTTTACATTCCACCACATGTAACACTGTAACGTCGCGCTGATGACCCGAAGGAAAGGATTGGATACATTCACCAGAAAGAATATCCCATTCACGCATCATTCCACTCTTGTGTACTGAGACAAGGAAGTTTTGTGAAGAGTCGTCATAGGCATTCTTGACACGTTGTTTGGCTGCTACCTCGGCTACCAAAGGATGACAATATTCGGTCACTGCACCAATAAATTGAACTGCCACCACTCGATCCGTTACAGTGCGTCGTGTGTTCCTTATCAAAGACTCGTCATTGTTGGCTGCTTTGCGGTGGCGTAATGTCATTAGTGTCGTTGGATCTTGTTGTTCTTCAATGGTTACTGGCATTCGGGTCTCAACACGTAGTTCACGCAACAAGGTGCCAGTGGTGATTCTCCATACACGTATAATGCCATCATCGAATCCAGCAGCTATCCACTTGTTGCCTTGGTCCATTTTGATACATCGAGCCGATTGCATTAAGGTAGACTGAAGATCATTGCTGGTGGTCATGTTGTTGTTGCGTATCATGCGTCGATTCTCCCCCTTTCTCCAATACTTTGGATTGAGATCTGCTTCCATGATTTCACCATGTGTCTTTCGCATACGATCCAGACGTGCCATCCATTCAGCATGATCAGCATCCCACATGATAATCCTTCCATCCTGGCCACAAGAGACCACCGTGCCATGTTTGGCATTGATGGCCAAGCGTCGAATATCAGCAATGTGTCTTCCCGACAAAGTCTTGATAGTGACATCCTTGATGTTGTGTTCCAATTGTTGCTGATTAAATTGCTTTTGAGCAGAAATGGCACCTCGATGGACACCATCCTCGTCATAATTGTCGCTCCATGACACGATACGAATCACCTTAATACGTATCATATCCAGCACATCGTCAATAAGGAATCGCCACATGGGTTGAAGCCATCGTTCATGCGAAGATGGATTGAGCCACATAAGGATACCAACAAGTACGAGCGTCAATAGAACGGAGGGTAGGTTGATTTGCATTAAAAATTCAATGACTTTTTGAATGGCTGTAAACACGGCTTTACGAAATCGAGATGGCTGCCGGGGTTGTTGTTCCATCATTGGTGCGGCTGCTGTTGGCTGGATCAGATGCATGCTATCCAAAGAAGTTTTGGTGCGATAATGTTCCTCGATACGATGCGCATGTAAATATCCATCCATAGCTGTGGGTGCATAGATGACAAGTTGAGGCGGATTGACTTGAAGAGCCATTCTCCGATGAAGTGGGTTGGCCATGTTCCAAAATCGATGTGACACGGATCGTAGTTCCATATTCATGTCAGCCGTGGGCGTTGCGTATTGAATAGAAGGTCGCAGCAATGTCAATGAAAGAATGATAAGGCATAGCTAAACAATAGCACGTATGTAAGTTTAAACAGCCAATGAATCTCTCCCCTCCTTCTCTTACCATCAAAGCATTGTATGTTCTATGCGTCTTGAATTGCTTGCACTCTGCACAGCTTTTTGGAACATTGTCATCAGCAGGTTCTTGAACAGGGCAAAAGTCGTCTGCTTGGTCTTCATCCATGCCAAATTTAGCAAGTTCACGAAGGCGCTTCGATGTTTGACGATCATCCAGGTCCGTCAACTGCATGATAAAGCAAGCATTATCAACATAAAAGTGCATATATATAAAATCGCGCGGGAATAAAACATACCTCGACACATTTGACATTAATGGCAAGAAACGCCAAAGTAAACGTCAAATCAAGTGCATAACCCACGAGTAAAGCAATCCTTGCAAACAAGCAAAATTCATTGATCAATGGGACATCCATGGCAGTGCCAATAGCGAGAATGACTTGTTCTGCTAGTAGAGTCAAGGTCATGGGTAATCCGACGCTTTCAAGTCCTATACATAGAATTGCATGAGAACCGTTTTCTATTTATAAAATAAACTCACACTTTTTGTGCACACACACACAACACATACCACGACCGATTTTTTCTTTGATTTGCATATCACAACCCGCGCTGAGAACGGCTTCTGTCAAGAGTAGCATGTTTTCAATGGACGCCATAGTAGGAACCACCAGCAAGAGGTACCATGGTGCAATCGAAGGCTTCATGTCGAATGAATCAAGAATCCCCAACGTCGTCGTGTAAGATGCAACCACCGTAAACATGACTGCAAAGCCGTGTGCGAATTGAGAACGGACATGATGCGCATATCCAGTAAACAAACCAGAGGCGATAAAACATACAAGGATGAAGGCTCCAAGATAAAGATAGGCGTGATCCAATATCAAGATTTTAAACTAGACACACAAACATTAGCTACCATTACATACACGCATTCCATGTTTTCCTTTACCTTGTAGTTTAGTAATTGTGGATGCATATGGAATTGTGTTTGCCAAGCTTCTGCTTCTGCTGCTGCTGCTGCTGCATCTGACTCCTGATGATGATGATGATCACCGCCATCCACCGGTAGGGGTTCAATGTGCATTTGCGTGCTGACACTTTGCCACAGTGCGTCCCATACACGTTTAGAATAGGCCATGTAAGGTGATGATGCTTGTTGTTGCAAAAAGACTGTGATGATGATAGAATCGGCTGAACGGAAGCGTCCATGGTTGTCAAGGGTGACGTTGCCAAAGACTGAGAGTGGGTGCATGGATAATCCGGTTGTCTCGGAAACTGAGCCGGCACGCGTGTTGATAATATCCATCATGGAAGAATCCATCATTTCTTGTTCTTTATCATTCCAGTAGTGTGTGGGTGAATGAATCATGCATTGTCCATAATGTAATTTGCATATGCTCGCAAGCGACGATAACTTGCCATCCACTGTAACTGAATGACTGGTCAACGCTCGTTCAATATCGCGTGCATGGTGCAACAAGGTAGAGTCGACGCTGCGTTTGTCGTTGGTAATGCGCACTTGTTGTACAATGAGACCTGGTAGTGAAGACAATGTCGCATTTTCGGGTTGCAAGTGAGGAGAGAATTCCCAAAAGCGTGCATCGACGTGGTTGGTTGTTGTTGAGGGCGTGATCGAGGTGACAGAATGGAAAATGAAGGTATAGGAGTAAAAGGCAATGAACAAAAGAGGAAGAACAAGAAATGGGAATGTTCGTGTGCCGCACTGTTTCCCATAGGAATAAAAGTAGGCACACAGTCGTGTTTGATGCCTGGTTGGTGCCCTTGTAGGCATAAGAAAATATCGATAAAGAGAAAAAGAGAGAAAGGAGGGATTACAGTGTGCAAGTGAGAGAGAGAGAAAAGGGACAAAGGGACCAACCAAGCAAGCAACATAATCAACCTGTGTGCTGGTTTACTCTCCGCATGCTGCATGTGTGAAGTTGGCACTTTAGGCAATCTGCTTGTCAAGATTCAATGTTTCAGTTCTGCTGTAGTAATGTCATTGCTTTGCTTAGGTCTTCTCTTGCTTTGTATCATTGGGAAGAAAGAGGGAAAAAAACAATCACACATGGATACTCATTGTCAAGACGTATAATAATAACAATCCCCCAACTACCTATCCACCCAGCTGCATAACATACGAGAAAAAACTCACAGCATTTAACAGGTGTACAAAACCTTATCATATGATGCACATGCTTGTTCGAGCAATTGGACTTGTGCAACAATGCATGGTTACATTTCTCTGAAGGTGAAAAGTTTTTTTTTCTTTCTTTCTTTTTCGATGCACTGTTGAATAATGACAAAAAAGGACGATGCTATGTATATATATAATTACAAAAGAGTGTTGAAACGATGCCGTATATAAAGTAGAAAAGAAGGGAGATGATGCCAAGGAAGAAGAACAATGAGATGATGATGATGATGATGATGAGAGAGGAGGAGGTGAGGGAGGG